TATATAAACTGAATAACATATAATTTTGCTCATTTGTTGTGCATTAAAGAAACACCATCACTTCAGTGTGTGTCATGACATATTTACCGTTTTGAGTGCCTCCTTCACCAGATCATCTTCCAGATTGGCCTGGATATGATCTTCATATGAATAAAAACAAAGTTATTAGCTAAATAAATATTGCAGAAACTTCACACCTAACATATATGAACTATCCTCTAAAACAGAGGCTGCAAACCACTTGAGTAACATTTTAAAAAAAGCATATTGTATTATCATATTATAGTTAATTTTGCTCTTACTGTCCACTTCATCCAAGATAAATTCATCAGTGGTGATGTCTAGTTCTCCCAGGTTGAGGTTAGTAACATTTGCATCAGTCTTCTAGATGAAAACGCACAAGAATATATAAAAATAAACAAATAAATAAAACAAAACATAATTTTGCTAGAGAGTTCATCTTGTTTTTAGTTGTAATCAGTTTGTACCACATTCTAGGGCTGTGGACATTAATAGTTTTCAGGTTTCATATTGTATACCACTTTCAAATCCATTCTGATTTGAACTACACTCACTTGTGTACCGATGGGACTAGCTACTTGCCAGTGGCTGAAGATACCTTCATATTGATTCCTATTCATCCTGGTCTATGAAGGCTCCACGACATTTCTAATCTTCGCTACTGTATTTTAATTTTGTTGTTTCACACATGGACTCAAACAACTTTTAAATCCACCATGAATCTTAACTGTAAACCGACACATAATTTCAAGACGTTTGTGCTAAGTCAGACAAGTCAAATTTGCATGTCGACGCTAGGAAYGCTAACACAACATTATGTCAGATTTGTTTCTTCTCAACAAAAAACTGTCAAACCATAGTGATAAAATGTCACCTCGTCCTGGAGATACGCCATGGCGATTTGTGTTGGGTTTCCTGTTGGGTTTACATCGACACCGGACCCAACAGGACCAGAAACTACCTCAGCAGCCATGTCGACGAATTTATGCTAGCGTTGGAGAAAACACAACAAACCAAAGGTTCCACTTCCTGAAACTTAAAACACAGCGATCACTTTTATCAACAATGCAGTGCGTTGACATAATTTTCATGTTTCTTCATTTATCAAATGAATATGCACAAATAATAAAATAAATCGATTTATGACATATCGTAACGTAGCGATTTATTTATTTTAAGCCCATTAAAAAAAACAATAATAACTCCCCGAACACATTAAAATGAAGGACCAACTTCCGCCAGCAACTGGACCAAAGTCTCGCGAGAAAGTTGTGACTTCCTCTTTGCACGGAACCTACTTCCAAGATGGTGAGTGCGGTTTACTGTAACATAAAGTAATTTTGTAATCCACGTTCATCCTTCTTTATACGTGATTGTTTGTTGTTTCTGAGTCCATGATGATATGGGTCCGGTTATTGTGCACCGAAATATGTTAAAATGTTGTAATAATGGGGATCAAAGATTAGCTTTTTTCTTATAAAAGCCAAGAAGCTGTATTGAGGATATAAGCGCCAATGCTTATACCTTTTCAATTTTATGTTTAAAATCTTATTATATACAATAAATACATGTAAGGCGGCTCTTTTAAAGCTGTTATATTTTATTAACTAATTCTGTTAAACTAAGTATTGTCGGTCTTTTTAAAGCTTCAGGTGCTAGCTAACTATGCTACATGTAACCTAAAAGCATTGACAGGAGTGAAGTTAGCTTTCAGTAGCCCTTTTAATCGACCCTGCTGCATGCAGAGCTGCTTTAATATTCACTCAGTTTAATGTGTGTGCATTTAATTAAGAAGTGATCATTGCAATTTTCGTTTCTACAGATGCTAACTTTGTTTAAGTTTTAATTTTTGGCCAGTCTTMAAAGGTTTTCCTTCAAATGTTTACAGTCTCTGGTCATCCCTGAGAAGTTCCAGCACATTCTTCGTGTTCTCAACACGAACATCGATGGCAGGAGGAAGATCGCCTTCGCCATCACTGCCATCAAGGTATACGACATTCATACAGTTTTAATCTTATAACTTAAGCTAATATTATATATATTGTGTCTTGATAAGTGCTGAATTATTTGAAGCTTCTACTTGTACCTGTTAACCATGTTGTCTGGTTTATAGGGTGTTGGCAGACGTTACGCTCATGTTGTTCTGAGGAAAGCTGACATTGACCTCAACAAGAGGGCTGGAGAGCTGACCGAGGAGGAGGTAAGGCCTGGAAAAGCTGAACAACTAAATATTGTCTTTGTTTTGTTACACAAATATTTCTTTRGTCCACTTCTTAAAAAACGAGCTGGAATGAAAATGAGATGCTACCTGAACTGATTTTAGTCTGGTGACTGTGTTGGGTTTTATTTTCCTCACCAATTGGATGTGGTTGTTGAATGTTTTTGCTGTGCAGTTAATGTTGCTGCTGTTGTGCTCCTGTTGACAACAGCATCAGTACAATGAGCAGTCATTTCAGTTTTGTTAAGTTTTATTGGTCTAGAGCCAACGATTTGTTGTCTGATCACAAGTAAAAATGTTTACCTTATGCTGCAGTTCACAGTTATCACACATGGTCAGTGTAGCATACACTTTACCTGAGTAACAAGTGAGATGGTTTACTAACAAATGACAACAAAGCAGTTTGTTCATTTTAAGTGTAAAATCTCCAAACAGAACTAGAATTCCCAGTAGTTATAATTATGCGTGCCTTATTTTGAAACATAATCTGTATTGCATTTTCTTAACTGTCTTGTTATATAAACCATGTGAATCAGGGGTGTCCAGTCCTGGTCATTGAGGGCCACTAATCCTACAGGTTTCTCTGCTCCAGCACACCAGATTTAAATCAGTGCCTGATGAAAAAACTTCTGCAGAACCTGGAGGTAATTTGGTCACTGAATTGGATGTGGACCAGGATTGGACATCCTTTATGTAGATAATAAATTCAGATTAGTCAGCTCTAAACATCACCAAAAAAAAAAAGAAAATAAAAAAAGAAACAATTTTGACTTTAATGCTTAAATACACTGTTATTTTGACAGGCTATGTGTATACATAGTATTTCTTGTGAAACCATCAAATTTTGCTGATGTGTTCTCTAGGTTGAACGGGTGGTGACCATCATGCAGAACCCTCGCCAGTACAAAATCCCAGACTGGTTCCTCAACAGGCAAAAGGATGTAAAGGATGGCAAATACAGCCAGGTAATGGACTCAGCATTGTTTAAACCAGTGTTTCCCAAAGTTGGGGTTTTGGGTCCCGAAAAATCAAGGTGGGGTGCTGAAAAGATTTTCTGAATTAATTACATTTTTGTCTTCATTGTTACAAAGGAGTGAGGTTAGTGTATTTAAAATGGATAAATGTAGTATAAAAATATTGTTACTATGCCCATGTTTAGCTGACCTGATACAAATGTTTATCATCCAAAAATAG